TCGTGATGAAACCTCGCCTTAGTGCATAGTTTCCCAAAGTACAGTAGGGGAAGCAATTGGGTGGACGTTGATGCTGTCCAGGGGGTGCTACCGCATTTAAAAAGAAAACCTGAATGAAATTAAACTACATTAGTATAATTTCGTCGTCGTCGTATGTGATTTCTGTCATTTTTCAGGACGAAGATAAGAATGTGGTGTAAAATGTAGTAAACGCAATGTTTGTTGTTAGCATTTTAATTACTTAAATGATACCTCTTTCAGATACTTTCTTCAACAAAATTCAGTAACAACGAACTATGTGAAAACGCGTAATTTTCACTCTAACGCACACGCACACACTCAACATAGCACAGGAGAAACCCCGTGTCGCGGGTGCCATGGACACACACATAGACAACCACAAATTACACCCAAACTCACGAGATAAATAAATATAGGCCATACAAATATTTCTCCCGGCCCGGGAATCAAACCTGGGACCTCTGCGTGGCAGTCCGGCATGGTAACCGTTCGGTCACTCTAAGACGACGATATATAATTATTTTGTCCTTGTGAATTTTTTGTGTTAAGTTAATATAAAAAATACGTGTTTTTCAATTATTTTTTGTGGTAATGGGCGTTGATATTTTTTTATCTTGCCTAAGTGTAAAAGTTTGGAAACCTTTACCTTAGAGGTAGATCTGTTGGACGTGTATTGGCTGACGGTAATCTGCACTAAACTTTGGTAGACAGTGGAACTTATGCTGTCAGCAGACTTCAACTAATGTACTTTAGAATATCGTGCCATTTTGTAGTTTGAATTAAAAAATATATTTGCATAATGAATGTATCAAATTAGTGGGTTGTTGCAGTATATCGTCAATAACATCCCCTTCTATTGCCATACGTTTATGATTTTATATGCAAGGTGTTGCATCTCATCTATTCGAAATCCTGCCTTAAGTATCACAGTAACAAAGATTATAACAGAACATAATGATGTTATACAATACTAAAAATATATATACTATATTGCTAAATTGTATGTCTTAAACAGATGCGTGATTTGAATTTGGTGGATTTTGAGTTAAAAATCAAACTAAAAATTTTAATAAAGGAGGAATCACACTTATCGACATGTCATCGAATGAAGTAGGTCAAAAAAAGCTTTAAGATTACGCAATAAAAGCGAAAAAGGCGTGCGTTTCGCGCCGGCATTCCGAGTTGTAGTTGTCTTTTTCACTCTTATTCCATGGACTGCTTTTTCTAAACGTCTCAAGTTGATTCCGAGTTAAACAAGGGTGGTGCTCCCTTAATAAAATGTGAGAGTTTTTTTTTAAACTGAATTTTAGATATTTTCTTGATGATACCTCCAATGGACACTTACTACGCCAACTTTATATTGTTTTTTTGTTTATTTTTTTTCTTAAAATTCGGGGAGCGTAATATTAGTAAATAAATATGGCTGTTTACAAAAATAACAGAAAATGACCAAAAAATAAACTTGGCGTAGGTGTTCATAGAAGGTATCGTTGTAATGGCAGAATATGGAATTATTTATTATTGTCTTAATAAGACAAGTAGGGTAACTCTGCTTGTGTGCAAGGACGCACACATTCACATAATCTCGCCGTTGCATAGCGCGTAAGTTCGGTATTAAAAACTTGCATCAATGTTTGATGGTTTGAACAAGAGTGACTCGAAATTCAGAATTATTCAGCATTTCAATTTCATTTTCCTACTCCGATAATCGAGATAACAATCCACGATGTTGGTACAAAAAAATCAATACTGCAATTAACAAAGGCTATTTCAATATAGCACGAGAACACTGCGACGAACGCCTTTTTTTTAAATAATTTTTACAACCTGGGTGCAAGTCTAATTGTAAATCATCTCAGTTGTGTGTCAACAGTCTACGTCTGACATTCTGCTACAAGTGCAGTGGCTTGTCAGAGTTTAGCCATCGAATTACGATTAAACGAGATAAAAATTAAGGTAGTATTTCCATGACAGTTTTAGTAAGGCAATATCAGTCGTTTCTGATTTAAAGAATGAATCCAATGAATGTCATCAATGTTATTCCACAGACACTATATTGAGACCATCGAGAATATAACCAGAAATAGAGACTAAATAAGGGCCATCGATCCCTGGCTAATGGGCCTTATATCACGTTTAAATATCAACTCTCGTTTGCACTGAAATCACAAATTAGAAAGCTGAGAGCGCCAACAACTGACCTATGTGTACGTCTCCGAATATATTCCAAAAATATTCTATATTTATTGTAATTAAGATAATATCTCTAACAATGGGAGGCTGTCCTATTCAGTGGTGTGGAAAAAACAGCAAAACATCTAATTTTGTAATTAGATTAGATAAACAAACGGAATCACATTTCATCGGTAATTAACTATCAAATTATGTAATTTTTCAATTTTCGTCCATTATAGCAAAGCTGAAGTTAAACTGGTCTATCTATAATTTACGAAACCCGTCAATTTGTTATAAATGTTTGAACTTTCTAATTACCGTATCCATGGCTAAATATTTGTGTATAATGAATATTAATAACTCGAAAACTACTTTGTCTTTTCCAATGCCATTTAGACATATAGTTATTCATATTTCAATGTTATTGGATATAACAGAAAAAACAGTGGCTACGGTAATCAGGGTAAAAGCACCGACATGGCTACGGTAATTAGGCTGAGAACACTGAATGTGAGAATGGCCGTTATATACTCGATGATTGAGACTCAACTGCCGCTGCAACTAGATTTTAACAGAATAACAAATATTGTCATAATTGCAACTTAATATAAACGAAGTCTCAATGGAATTAGCAGACTTGAGGTAGTATAAAATAATAATTTTGAAAACCCTACTGCTCTGAGATAAGTAGGCATGGACGCGTCTCGGTTGGAGATGCTCTACTGTCGTATTATACTATGCTTTAGCTGTCTACAAACTTCAAAACTTTCTGTGTGTCCTTACAAATACTTTTATTATTTATATTACAGTACCGGCACGCTATGATGACCGTTTTGACAGATTACAATAGTGAGGTCAAATCTCAAACCATTATCGAAAAAAATATAATCAAATGCGAGTCGCATCTAAAAGTTTTTATATTTATAACTAATATTGCAAGGGGTAGCTGATTAAAAAGTTTAAATAAAACGAAAATAAAAATGTTTACTTAACATATCGCACTGCTATTACAATAGTGTTGTAACTCAAAATATGTGAAATTCAATATTATATCATTACTGAACGTAAAATTTCATTCTCTACACGTCAATAAAACCGTCGTTAGAATATTGTAAGAAATAATTTAAAGATATCTACGTGACTCCTAATGAGTCACACTTTATGTAATCTAGTTCAGTCCAAAATAGTCCTTATTCAACCATGTGAAATATTTTTTTTCCATTTAATTTTTAAATATATTTGGCATGTAGAAAATTGTTCAAGTGTCTGTAATAAACTTTAACTCATACATAAATTGTAACGATCTTTCACGGGAAGTGAGTAACTCGTTTTTCATTGTTTCTGAGAAAATACACTTTTTGAATTAATACACTATATTGTATTAACAGCGATATAGTCAATTCGGAACTGCTTTGTTTTGCATTGAGCTTTGACGCGAGTTTGCCGGAGGTAGAAGTTGTGCTGGACAGCGATCCTATAAGTGACGATCGTATTAGATTTCGTTAATAAAAATTTCGAAAAACAAATGCCGAGTTGTGTCGTAAAATTATACATCCATAAGTTGTGCTTCACGTCACTATTGACAACAATGTAAAAGCTCCTTCAACGTAGTTATGAATTAATAAGAAACGCTATACTATAGTCAATTTGGCAAAGTATTTACCGGCTTGAATGAAATAAGGCAAGTTAATGCCTGAAACGCAAACACCTATTTTATTATCACATTACCAATGCAGTATTAGATCTATTGTGGCTAAAGTGTTGCCCTAGTGAATCTTTGAATCTATGTTAACTTTGATTCTGATAACATTATGCTATTTGTTAACAAAAATATGCACAAGAATAGGGTATATCTAGGTCTAGCCTTATTAGCCCTGGACAAGTCGTTCATAAGTGATACCAGCTAAATCAAGCTACACATACTGTCCTCCTCGTCATAAGTAACGCATTTTTGGAGATTGACACGCTTACAGGAAGTTGCAGTTCTCGTTTCACTGATTCAAGATAACGCACTGCTATTACAATAGTGCTGTAACTCAAAATATGTGAAATTGAAGATTATATAGTTTGTTATAATTATTAATACAAAGATCGAACACACAGAAAAAATTCCTTCGATTCCGGCAGGATTCGAACCGACGTCTTCTAGTAAACCGTGTCAGACGCTATGCCAACCAAGCCATGGAACATACCGACCCCTCCGACGTAAAGTATCGTATGTCGAAATTGCCAAGTTTACAGCGAAGCGTTTTTAAGTTCTGAATTCACTGAAACGAACATAACACGTGACTTTAGCATTTCTCAGTTTTATTCGGCAAAGCTCATTACTTACATAGAGTATTATAAAATCCTAGATATCGGTTAGATGATCTATGGTGATCACTCTTTCAGTGAATTCAGAACTTTAAAACACTCCCCTGTAAACTTGGCAATTTCGACATACGATACTTTACGTAGCAGGGGTTGATACCAGCGGACCTCATGAATTGTGAGGACCTTTGTGTTTGGTTTTATTTTTTTGGAGCAATTTCACAAAAAATAATTGAATATCAATTCAATACAAATTTAATTCAAAATTATATTTAACGAGTTGTAATGTTTTCGCGATTGTTACACTGGGAAATGAAATTATTTTTATTTCCTATGTGTAACAATCGCGGAAACATTATTTACCCGACTGCGGGAGGGTTATGTTTTTCAAGCGTTATGTCCATTTCTTTTTCACGCTGTACAGCCTAAACGGCTTGAAGGTTTTGACATATGAGGGTTGTTAGATTCGTCTTGATTGTGGGAGTGTTGTAGGCCATAAAAAATAAAATAAAATAGTGAGGGGGGAACATTTTTTTTATCTTTCCAGCTAAATATACAAAAACAAATATACGCTATTAAGATCCGAAAAAATAGTTTAATTTCAAGATTATACTATTTCTGAATCCGAAATTAGATTTTCTACACGTCAATAAAATCGTCGTTAGAATATTGTAATATACGATTTAAAGATGGCGCCGTGAGTCATTATTGATGGTTTATTAACGTTTGTACACACCCTCTCCAACATTACGTCACTTTTAATTATGATAGGAATTCGACCAGTGAGGATGTGCCATGCTTTTGACAAATTTTAACTTATCTGTTTTTCATCGATTCTGAAAAAATATACTTTTTGAGTTTACACTATTGTAACAAACAGTAACTCAATTTCGGTAAAAATGTGGTTTACGTTAGTTATAATAGGAGCATAGAAAAGCAACGACTGTACCGCGTATTCCGTAGAATAAAAGTCAAATGTTACGTAATACTTATACGTATTCATTATTACTTTCGTCTCTAATACAAAGATCATTAGGTCGCATTCCATTAGGTTGCATAAAACGATCAAATCCAGTTAACACAGATCCAGGAATTATATCTAAACTATATTAACACTACGCAGTAAGTTATCTGCTCTCTGGTTTAGGCTTTGGTGGTTTGAAGCCCATAATCTTCTTCTTTTTCTTCTCCTTGCCGCCGCCCGATTGGAACGTCTTCCAGCTGTCGACGCGGTTTTGCCGAGATTCCTGGAAATACGAATATAAGAGTTTAAATACTATAATGCTTGCCATCGCGGATGAAGGATTTGCCAACCTGCACAAGGTACTCGCCGATCCGAAAGGAAGGAAGAAGGAAAGGGTCCTTCACGCCACGTGTATTGTGAATGATAAACTTTAAACATTTGTATGTCTGATGAGAAATGGTCGGAAAAAGGTCTTCCAAATTTACAGATACATGTAATGATATAGCTACATAGAGTGACATAGGGTGGTGAAAACCACCAAATACTGATTAACTACTTTTTTCGAATTCCGGATTTCCGGAAATAGTTTTAATGCATCTTAATACAAAACTACTGACCTAAGAAGTCGAAGTTAGATTTTAAAGTAATTCCAAT